TCAGTCATGCATGGATGGATTTTGTTCAGATTTAGCACAATGTGTTGTACATATGCAGGTGCATTTCGGTCATGATCTGCTTTGAATGTATATGTCACTCAAATATGAACGGAACGGGACGTGTCATTGACAATGACTTGTCATTGCTTATCATTGGTCACAATTTGATGAATGAAGGTCATTGACCCTTTGATCACCAAAATAAATTGAATGAAGGTCATTGACCTTTTGACCACCAAAATAAATTGTTGTCACCTTGATCATAATAATACATCCATAAAATGCATTTTGTGACACTTTCGATTAAAACCTTTTTATTAGGTCTAAAATTACCAAATTGTTGAAATACCGGGTATACAGAAAAATATGCAAAATATGGCAATCATAATGTTAATTTCACACTGACTCATGTTTAACATTCTCGCCACCAGACTTTCTCCATCAATCAAATTCTTTCGCACTTTTTTCTTATGTTTAATATTTCTGGAAATAAACCCTAATTTTGGAGTCAACAGATAAAATTTGAGTCAATTTTCAGTTCTCACTCTAAAAAAATTTGCTATTTCTGTCCCATCCTCGGAAGGAAAATACAGTCTATAAACGGGACTATTTTGTGAATTTGTGATGGAAAAAAGGAACTGGTAGTGAAAAGGTTAAAAGACCCCAGCATAGAAAAACAAAATTCGGTGATTTTCCTGCCAACAATGGTGTTATTTAAAGGGCCATATTCATGACTTCTAAAGTCAACACATACTAGTATAGTCTGAGTATCAGTTCTCCGGAAAAAAAAGGATGCAAGAACTTGTTCAAAATCAAAAACAATTTAACATGCAAAAATTGAGGTACTGTAAAATACTTTATTTTCACTTGGAATTAATTTTCGCTATTTTCGCTGAAGGAATGATTCAGTGAAAATAAAGTCCAGCGAATATAGCTTTTTGACTCCCGTGTGCGAAGCACAAAAAGGGAGTCTTTGCAGTTAGTGTGTCTGTCTGTGTGTCTGTGTGTCTGTGTGTCTGTATGTGTGTGTGTGTGTGTGTGTCTGTTCCATCGATATCTCAAGAACCAATGTTCGGATTTCAATGAAACTTGGTATATAGCTTGTCTGGGGCAATGCACAGATTTGATTAGTTTTTGGTTGACATCCATGCATATTAATGAGCTCATCTGCATAATAATGTGTGAATTTTAAGCTATTTCAGTTATATCTCAAGAAGTCAAGAAGCATTAAAACGATTTTTATGTAACTTGGTAAGAATGTTACTAATGATTGGCTGCTGCAATTCATTGTTGTATTTTACATTTTAATTAAAATTTAGCATTTTTTATGTATTTTTTTAATATATTTTTTTTAAGTTTTTTATGCCCAATTGCATGAATACAACTAACTAATAGGAATCGGTGAGTGGACTAATTTGCATAATGATGCGCATGCGTATTCTATTTTTTATGATCAGCAGTTTATGATGGTGTCAGCCATTTTATTTCCAGTGTGTTGTACAAAAACGAAGCAAGCGCTCGGGAGATGAAATGTATGTATCAGTTTACATTAAAGGTCTGAGAAATTACATGTATGATTTTTTATTATCGTATAAGTAAATAAATAAATAAGTAATTGAACAAATGTATAACCTCAATGCCTGTGAAACGAATTACTGTGCAAGCTAGTTTACATTCACGTGTGGTGTACAATTACATTCAAGCCACGGAACATTGAACCCTGTGTGAGCCCAGTCAAGAAAATAATGAATGTGAGATTCATCATCGCCAAAACCATGGCAGTGTTGAAGATATGAAAATGGTTGGTAGGTTCAATTTCATGGTAAAATGTTGTGTAAATTCGTTGTACTTGTGAATCCTGATTTATCACCGTATTATTGAACGCGAGAACAAATATGGTGACCTCCAGCATCAATGTAGTTGTATCAAGTCGCTGCCGTAAGGAGATATTTGTATCGCTTACCAACATTGTATTGTACTTCTTTCCTTTATTTTCCTTTACACATTTGGAAACTTGCATGGTGCACTTTCACCCCCACTTTCCCCAAATTACGAAGCTATCATGTCGATTAGTAGGTATAGGATGTCTATGTGTGTTGATGACTACGTCGTTGTTTAAGGGCCCCTCGTACGTAAAATGGGGCACATTCCCAGTAAAAATATCTATTTACACAGAGCTGAAAAAATTCGCCTACATGTGTAAATTCATGTTGGGATTTGGAGAAAAAAAAACTCGTAAAACATACCGAATTTACCGTGACGGGAGTGATCAATTTTGGTGCCGATTGTTGGTGGGCTGATCAGCATGTCGGATTATTTCTGAGAACGTTCTTCCTGTGGGAAATCACAAAATCATTAGCACTAAGTAAGCTGGTTTACCTTATTTTTGTGTCAGAGTACCCTGTACAAATGACATGAATCGACATGTGATGATTACCAAAACAATTTGACAATCGGTGTCTCATTTGTTCACCGCTCCCTCAACACGGTGATTTGTTATGACGGTGGTTTGTTATGAGCGGTATTTTTTCCCGGCCCTTTTCGTCGGAAATTACGAATTCATTGGCTCTAATATATCCTAGTTGACTTTAGTTGTTTCATCCGATTATTCTGTACATTGATTTTTACCACAGTCCCGGGACTGTGATTTTACCTAGCAAAGGAAACAATCGGTGTTTGGCTTTGTTATATGTATACTATTGCAACACCTTATGTGGGCCCCCAGCGTGAGCCTCGTGTTTCACTATTTTTTTCATTGAATATTACACCGCACGATATCCCTCAAATCGGAAGGCACATTTATTGCTCGTGTTACTGTTCCTATTAAGTTAAGCCATGGAGCAAAAAAGAAAATATGGTTAAGCTGAATACCATGCTTCATGTGGAATGTATAGACCGTGATGTCGGCATTAACTACTGGATGCATAGTGGAAACCACTGGGGCAACGCCACGCTGACCGGCGTCTCCTGCCTGATAAAAAAACAACATGCGGGACGGGCTGCAGGGTTTTAAGCCATCGTAGATGTTTTCGAAACGAAAATTAGCGAATAGGTTTTGTTTCGAGCCACTTAAAATGTCCTGTGTGTATTTTTGGTTGGTACTCATCGCGTGCGACGTGCCCCAGATAGTGTCAATTTATACGCAGTAACAAATGATACGCGATGGGGATTACTTTGAATTTTATGTACCGAGAAGTACGTCTGCCGTAAATTGTTAATATTTAATTATGTTATGGTACTGAGCTGTACGATGGTTGTAATTTTACCATGTCGATTTTCGGGATTTACAAACCAATCCAAAAGATTGTGATGCCTTCCTTATTAATATACGTAACTGAAAATAAATAAATATAATGATTATTGACACACATATTGATATTAAGATAGTGGTTTGAATTTTAGATATTTAGATTGTGATTGTTTGTCAGAAATTTACATAGTTGTTCTTGCTACTTCACGTTTTCCATGTTAACTAAATTTCTAAAATATTTTTAAATGCCCTATAAGTTTATTTTGGGCATTTATTTGTTTACTATTTTTGTTGCATTTCATTTTCCCCAATGTTTTATGAATTATTTCAGTTTTCTTTTTATTGTTGCAATTTTGTGTAGACTTTTTATGCATATTTTTAAGTAGGCTTATTGTAGGTATACGATGTCTATGTGTGTAGATGACTACTGGTGGCTCCTTATTTAATAGATTATTCATAATTTGTTTATCATTTTCAAATATTCCTGAATATTACATCATGATCCCTATCCCTCA